AGTACTAATGTGATATTCTGAATGACTGGTATGAACCAAGATTGAGGTATTTCACCAGTTTATGTGCTCTCTGAAAAGACAGGTAGTTTTACTCGCAATACAAGTTGCTTTTTACTATCGTGATATTCGACATCATCGATATAAATCTAGCAGCTGAGATAAATCACCATCTTATTGAACTTACGAACTGATTCGTGAATTCCGACATGTGTTAGGAAGTATAAACCAAATTTCATTCAGCAATGGTCATCTTTCAAATATACATGTTCTCTTCACTCGATGGTTATTTTCCCTTTCTGTTCTTCTGTTATATGTATCCACTGTCCTGTTTTTTATTATGTATTATTTTCTCTTCACTCTTTCCCATGGGGATTTTTCATTTCTATTCTTCTCTCTCTCTCTTGTACAATAGCTGTTTTTCCCAGTTTCCCAAAGGGACCTTCCTGTAGCTAAAATATACTATATATAGTTGTTAATTTACTGAAATAAAGTGTGTGTAACAGTTACATTCTTGGGATTTAAAACGTTGGGTGCAAAACGATTCTGAAAGGAATAACCTCACATTGGTGCACTAGCCGATTGTTTGTCAAACCAACACCACAAACAAGTTAAGAACCCCTCAAACGATATTAGCTATGGCATTAGCACTCGAATTAGAACCATTTAATGGCAGCAGCGATCAAAACATATCAGATTGGCTTACTAGATTCAATGTATTATGTACTATAGCCAATATTCAAAGTGAGAAACGCCATTTAGTATTACCATGGTTTCTGAAATCGGAAAGAGTGATAAACTGGTTCATTGATACAGATTTCGATCATTTAAGTTGGGAAGATCTACAAAGAACATTGATAAAAACCTTTGGATCACACGAGCATCAATTTCATCCACAACACCATCAGATAGTATATGACCAATACTCGTCGACATCAGCAGATAATTATGAGTTATTACCATCTGCACTCGAAAATGAACCCCTAGTGAACTGGCCTTCCGATAATGAACTATGGTATGTACGCGAAATGCGACAACAACGTGAAATTTTTATGAAAGCACCATTGACAAAAATAGAAGCTACTGTTAATTAAATATCGAATGATATTAAACATTCACCAATGGAACCGATGGTCATGGGCCGACAAGTACTATTTGAACTAAAACATATTCAGTTGGAGAATTTACAACTGAAATATCATCTTGCTCAAGGGATTAGAAGAACACCAATCCCCATTGGTTATTCAATCACAAATTTGTATTACTAATTGGTTGGTTGAACTGCTAGAACAAGGCGACAACCAATTGGTTTATAAACACAAAGACTGTACAATGGGTATTGCTCCACAACTACGAACTATTTGTGCGGGTTTTGCATTTACACATGATGATAAATTCATTGGTGGTTTATTGAACGATAATCAGACCAACTTATTAACGCATTGGGATTGGCTGTGGCCGTATATGGCTCCATGATAAACAACGACATCCGGATTCCAAACTGTCAAATTACCCTCGGTTTTCCACATGGACACGGTATTCATTGAAGAATAACACAGTCGATTTGTTGGACAAAATCATTTGGTCAGATGGTGGCAGCTTCGGATCGATTTTGTCAGCATTATTACCATCAAACAACATTTATCCTGATCAGTAGTATGATCTACAAAGCTATCATCTGATACCGATGGATTCTTTGTTATGGGGATGGTTTCAATGTTATGGGAATTGTCTCGCTTTTCTTTTTTTTCTTTTTTTTTAAGTTTTGATTCTTGAGTTTGTTTTTTTTTGTTTTCTTGTTAGTATGGTAACGATGAGCGGGACACTTCATCTAGTGGCAGGGGAGGTGTTAGGAAGTATAAACCAAATTTCATTCAGCAATGGTCATCTTTCAAATATACATGTTCTCTTCACTCGATGGTTATTTTCTCTTTCTGTTCTTCTGTTATATGTATCCACTGTCCTGTTTTTCTATGATGTATTATTTTCTCTTCACTCTTTCTTTTTTTGTACAATAGCTGTTTTTCCCAGTTTCCCAAAGGGACCTTCCTGTAGCTAAAATATACTATATATAGTTGTTAATTTACTGAAATAAAGTGTGTGTAACACTTACATTCTTCGTTGGCTATTAACCATTGGGTGCAAAACGATTCTGAAAGGAATAACCTCATACATGTCACACCTTCTACCATGCTATCAGTTATTCTATCAGTTAAATAACTCACAAACACTCTAAAAAAATCCGTATTTTGAAAAACTCTAACGATTACGCATTTTCCCTCCGGAATGGAAAAACGTTTATTGACAGTTTTCCTGAGCCCTTAATGGTTTATCGGCGATAGGGTTCCTTAATATACACTTGCGAATTAGACAAAAGCGTTTTTATAAACCTAAAAAGGTATCGGAGTTGGGTTAATAAACTGTCAGGGTGTCACACTTTGGATGAAAAATCCATTAGTTTTCTGGTAAACCGTTTTTATTTTTTAATGAACCCAAAAGGCCTTTGCTCGCTTAAAAAACCCTACGACAATTCTCTTAAATAAAGGGGTTTAGTGAAATATGGAAAAACGTATTTTAAAAAATGATGAGGGGACAAAAAATTGAATTATTCAAGCTATGAGTTGTAGTGAAGTTCAACCAGCGTTTTTTTCAACTATTCAGAATGAGAATACGTGTTATTTTCTCATTGATCGAATGAATAATACCAGCTAGTTTTCCAGTCAGTTGTGTTTGTTAACTTTTATCTTGTTATTACCAGATCAAGAGTCGTGTCATGTTATTTTTCGACTTAGTTAATTACTTGAACGAGTCGTTGTTAACATGCCAAGAGACTCGGCGAGTGTCCGATAGAAAGACGCCTTTTTTATTACTGTCGCGGAGATCACGAAAATAAAAAGGATCTTAGCTTGTCGTAGATAGTCAAATTAGATGCCTCTTTCAGCAGATATTTCTCATCCACTGATTGACTCCACGCAGACAGAGCCATTACACATTCTTAAATAGACCTGGACATTTTAACATTTACTTTTTGCTTACTGCCCAAGAGGTTAAAAAAATCGTGGATCGGGCGTACGAATCCCGTACCAAAAATAAGTACGGGGTTCTGATCCTGTACTCTTCAATATTTCCTTGCTTTAATGCGTTCTATTTTGCAGTTTTCACCATCAAACTTCCGTTTTCTACAACAATGTCATATTAGGAATCAGCAGCAATAACTGAATTGATTGATGTGAGTTTCAGGTTTTGGGGACAACTTAGATTTTTAGAGGTTTACAATCACAACGCAGAGCAGTTTTGGACCCTCCAGTAGATGCGGGATTTTGCAGGCAGTGTCATATAGGAACAGGATCGAAATGACCTTTCCTTATTCAGTTTTTCATGCTGAATTAGAAGAAAACTCCAAAACATGATGAGAGTTTGAAAAATCATTTTATTGTAAAAATAATGCGGAACTTTTGGATTACGCGCGCCTTACATCATTTTCCCTTTTTTGGCGCTCGTGAATGACTTCTATTATAATAGAAGAACAGAAGCCAGACAAGCTTGTGCACTAAGCCGCGTAACAGAGGACATCCAGTTCGTTCCACTGATTAAAATTCCAAAGTCTTTAAAGTCATCTTCGGAAAAAATCTTAATTGGTTTGTTAAACCGCAGTTTAAAATACCCTGAGGTTTAGTAAGACTAATAAACCTTTTGCAAACAACGACTCAAGTACCCTTATCGGTTTACTAACGTTTCCTAAACCCATCAGTAAACTCTCTGACCTTCGAACACGACACTTTTTTTAGAGTATACCTTCCCTCCCCTTATCCTATTTAATCTTAACTTCATTACATTGCCTTATCATAAGCGAGAATTCTCAGGCTCAGAAGTTTTATACTTTCCAGTTCTTCTGACTTATCAGCGAAAGAGAATTTTCTCCACTATGTATCTGAAGTTTAAAAACAGTGCTGGTTATTGTTATCTTAAAATGTTATAATCATAAACGACCCTGTAAAATAACTATTATCCCGATAAAATCACAAGCAAATTTAAAGTTTTTTCATCTTTTCATTGTTGTTTTTAAGACCAGCTAAGCTAAAAATAAACTTTTATTTAGAATTGAAAACCGAAAACGCTATATCAAGTAAAAGAAAATACCCATTTTCGGTTTTTCAATAAATATTTTTGGTATTTTAAGATACTAAAATTTTTTTTAGAAAGTGGTAGGAACATATCGTACAGCAGCCGACCCGATACCTATTCTCTTTTTGATAGCTGTAAAATCGAATTATTTTGGACTGTCAGTGATTGTAATAGTTCTCATGCAAATTTAGGTAATACGGCAAATTCGACAGGAGGTAGCCAGCTATGTGCGAGGTGGAAAGTAACGATTACTTTGTATCTCTATCAGACAGACCGATGTCCAAGCAATCGAATACTGTTCATAATATAGCTAATATAGCTTTGACGGTTGTGTACCAGAAACATTATTGTAGGGAAGTACCAAGCACTATTCTGTTTTAGTGTGAATTGCAAGAAATCTATCCATAAGAATTCTATTGGCATGGGATTAGATTTCGGGCTGAAGCGAAGAAATCCGGAATGGAGTTGGAAATCTCTTTTTTGAGAACCCATTTATCCAATATGGGCTTATA